TCCTTCCGCCTCAGCCTTCCAAGTAGCTGGAACTATAGGCGGGCGCTACCACACCCGGCTCATTTTTGATTTATTGTGGAGATGAGATCTCGCCAAGTTGCCCAGGCGGATCTCGAACCTGCGCGCTCAGGTAATCCACTCACCTCAGCCTCCCAAAGTGCTGGGATTACAGTCTGAGCCCCTGAGCCTGGCTGACATTTTATTTTAATTTAATTTAATTTAGTTTTGTTTGAGTCAGAGTCTTACCCTGTCGCCCAGGCTTTATTGCATTGGTATGCTCACAGCTACCAGAGACTCGACCTACTGAGCTCAGGCAATTGTTTTGCCTCAGCCTTCCAAGTAGTTGGAATCACAAGCATGTACCACCATGCCCGGTTCAGGCTGGTCTTGAACCCCTGGACTCAGGCAATCCTCTGGCCTCTGTCTCCCAAATGCTGGGATTACAGGCGTGAGCCACCATACCTGGCAGTTCTGGACATTTTATATAAGTGGAATTATATAATATGTGATCCTTTGTGTCTGACTTATTTTACTTGTGTAATATTTTCACATGCTATGTTGTGGCATGTGTCAGTGCTTCTTCCCTTTTACTCTGAATAATATTCCATTGTATGGATAGACCACATTTTGTTAATATCAAAGCATTTTTGTTGGACATTTGTTTTTTAAATATATGTTTTATTTTATTTATTTATTTATTATTATTATTTTTTGAGTTGGAGTTTCACTCCGTTGTCCAGGTTGAAGTGCAGTGGCACACTCATGGCCACCCCAGCATCGACCTGCTGGGCTCTGGCAATCCTTCCACCTCAGTCTTCCAAGTAGCTGGAACTACAGGCGAGCGCCACTATGCCCAGCTAATTTTTTGATTTATTGTAGAGATGAGGTCTCACCAAGTTACTCATGCTAGTCTCAAACCTGCACGTTCAGGTGATCCACTTGCCTTGGCCTCCCAAAGTGCTGGGACTACAGACTGGGCCACTGAGCCCGGCCAAATATATGTTTTGTGTTTTTGAGTTGGAGTCTCACTCTGTCACCCAGACTGGAGTGTAGTGACCGCTCCTGGCCACTGCAGCCTCGACCTGCTGGGCTCCGGCGATCCTTCCGCCTCAGCCTTCCAAGTAGCTGGAACTACAGGTGCGCACTACTACATCCGGCTAATTTTTTGATTTATTGTAGAGATGAGGTCTTGCCAAGTTGCCCAGGCGGGTCTCGAGCCCACGGGCTCAGGCAATCCACTCACCTCAGCCTCCCAAGGCGCGGGATTACAGGCTGAGCCACCGAGCCCGGCTCCAGTGCACCCTGTTAATCAAGTCCTGGCACAGGCAGTTTGGCCTGTTGCCCCAGACCCAGCCCAGCCTTTGCTGCGGGACAACCTTGGTTTGAGGCCCAACTTTGCTACTTGGCTGAGTGATTTTGGACAAGCTTCTTAACCTGCATAAGCCTCACTCTCTTGATCTGCAAAGTGGAGCTAATTACAGAATATGCCACAAGGATTATGTAAGAAAATGAATGGACAAATGTTTAGCATTATGCTGGGTAAGGAGTGCTCACTAAATGACTATTATTACTATTATTATGAATCGAAGTCTCATTCTGTCACCGAGGCTGGAGTGCAGTGGCATACTCATGGCCACTGCAGCCTTGACCTGTTGGACTTAGGCGATCCTTCCACCTCTGCCTTCCAAGTAGCTGGAACCACAGATGTGTACCACCATGCCTGGCTAATTTAAAAAAAACAAATTTTTATGGAGACAAGGTCTCGCCAAGTTGCCTAGGCTGGTCTCAAACCCCTGGGCTCAGGCAGTGCTCTTGCCTCCGCCTCCCAAAGTACTGGGATTACTGGTGTGAGCCAGTGCACTTGGCCTCATTATTATTTATTGTAACGACAGGACACAGGTCCAATGAGATTCTCTGTGTGAGCAAGGATTAAAGCCAGATTTTCAAATCTAGGGTTCAGGCCATATCACACCTCAGTGACTGCAACTTTCCTCGTAATGTTGCTTTCCTAGCTTTGTAGAGAAACTCTCAAGCCTTTGCAGGTTTCTTCGGCTCTGGTTGTGGCTGCCTCTTCTTCCGGTGAGTCTCATTCTCCTCATTGTGGAAGCAAGAGGATTCAGTTAGACAGTCCCAACGTCCTTGCCAGCTCTAGAATAGTCTGTAATGGCCACGAGAGCAGGGACAATCATTCCAGGCCCTCTTGGCATTTCTGTGATGAGAAGGTAAGGCATGGCCTGCTCTCATGCCACGAGGGATGCCTGTGACTGCAGTTGGCACGGGGAATGTGGATGTCTGAGCTGCACACAGGCTTCCGGAGCGTGGTGATAGGGCACATTTGTCATAAATGACCTA